TCCCATGCTTCTTAAAACAACCACGAGTTCAAAGGTGCTTACGTTGAAGTTGTAACCACCGAACCTTGCCTTTAGACTTCCATCATCGTCTCGTGACCCGCATGTGTTCCGGTCATTTTCGAACCTCGATGAGGAGCCTGACTCCTTGTTTTTAGGTTTGTGATCGTACCTTTGATTATCTTGCCTTGATCGTGAGTCTTTCCCCGCAGGTCCCATGTATGGCTCGTACCTGTTTTTACCGGATCTCTTTTTATTTTCCACACGCCTTGAGCTTACCTTTTCTTCTGTTTTATGTCGTAAAATAATGTCTTCTTTAATCCTCATCTTTGTACTGTATCTGTTGTAGACATCATTCCATGTTGTTGCTGGGAATCTCGAAGGCTTTCTTTGAGTCGCCTCGTGGCTTCTGAACTCTTCTCATTCAAATTACTAGCAAAGGCTATGGCTGCCCAATTGTCAGGTACTCGTGGCTGCGTCATTCTTTCCCGTTGAAATCTATCTACGAACTCTCTAAGCAACTCTGAGTCTCCTTGCTTGATTTTAAAGATGTCTTCCATTCGCTTTTCAACTTTTTGAGCTCCCGAGTGTGCTTTGATAAATAAATCTGCAAGCTCAGCAAACGAATTTATAGAATTTTCAGGTAAAAGAGAATACCATGCTAAGGCCCCTTTAGTGAGTGTTTCACCGAATTTCTTGACCAAGACCGACTCAATCTCTTGCTTAGTCAAATCATTGCCCTTGACACCTGTTGTGAATGCAGTAACGTGATCTCGTGGATCTGATGTACCATCATACTTTGGAATATCAGGCATCTTAAACTTCTTTGGAATTGGGAGGGGGGCAGCACTTGGATTCCATGGTTGTTGGGAATATTTATCTATATCTACTCCCTTGATCACGGGCGGTACTCCAGGTATTTGTTCTATGCGTTCATTTTGCTCTTAAGCTGTTTCTGCAAGGTTAGTACTAGATTTTGTAAATCAGAATTAACTGGATTACCTGGGTCTCCCTCTTGTGTTTCACTAGGGGTTCCACCACTGCCTGAATTAACCAATCCAGAAAGAGGATTCTCCAAAGTATTGTTGTTTGGAGTAGATGTAGGTGGAGCAGCAGGTAATTGGCTAACAAAAGCCTGAAGAGTTTTATTGACTTGAGAGGCAATAAGTTTTTGCAAAGTGTCATTCATGGTTTCAACATTTTCAAATAGAGCCTGTCCATCTGTGTGAGATCCATCAGGAGTGCCTTCATGAGACCGTCGTGGGGAACCTCGTGGAGAGCCTTGTGGAGAGCCTCGTGGAGAGTCTCCCTGAAGTTGTTGGATTGTTTGAATTTCTGGGTTTCCTTGAGTGTTGTCATTGTTGTTTGACATGATTGATGCAATCAAGAAAATCAGGTTGAAATATAATTGATTATCAGATTCCCGGTAACAGAACCAATTTGTTTAACCAAAAAATAGATTTTTAGTCAAAACTAGAAATTAGAAGAATCGGGTTACTGATAATCGGAAAAGTAAATAAAGAAAGAAATTTTAGAATAGCCAAGTATGAAGGCTGGTAAATCAGAGTATATTTCAATAGTCACCTCTCCCTCCAGTGATTACATATTTCTCCTTTTATAGGTCCCTTTGGGAATCTTTGGAGATGCACGTTATGCCTAAGCCATAATGAGGCTATTATGAGTAATTAATAACATTAAATGCTACGTTACATAATCATTACATTGAATGTATATATTCCTTGACGGCTCCAGCATTTAATACCCTTTAAATGCCGTATTTGCATCTTTTTCTTTAGCCAGGTTCATTCTTCTCATTGCTCGTATGTAAATAAGCTTAAACAGGAACGGGGCGCTGAGCCTCTCGTCTCGTGCCTCTTTTTACCCGTACCTGTTTGTAACTCTTGAACCGTGACAAATCACAACTCATTATCCATTCCACGTGTCAAGACACATCATCATGTATATATGAATACAAATTTTTCCCAATACAAAGAATATACAGGATATATTATTATTGTATAAAAAATCTTCGGGTTGGTTGTTAGTGGAGCTTCTTAAATCTTAGCTTACTGCTCACACAAAAGTTGAAATAAGGAATGTCAAATTTTGAATTTTAATGAGAGATGAGTGTGGGAAAATTTATTCACATTTATCATGAATTGGAATTGGGATAACGACGCACAATTTAATTGTGATATACACATAAATGTTTATATTAAAAACGTGTGGTGCATTTTTTTTTTTTTTTGGTATATATTGTTTGATAAAAATAAGTACCTACTATGAAAATTTACTTATAGAAATAACTTATGTGCAATAAATTTTTGCAATCCAGACAGATTCAGACTGTTTAAGATAGTAATTCATTTGTCATTTTTTATTCCTTTAACATCTGAAAGTATGGAAAGTTATTAAAACCCATCCTAATATTTGTTATAGTAAGTCATTAATTAATTAATCTATTATCTACTCTCTAAGAAGGCAAGAACTAATTAATAGCCTGTTTGGCCAAGCTTATTTTTGGCCAAAAGTGCTTTTTTTTGGCCAAATGCATTTTTGGTCAAAAATTGAGGTGTTTGGCCAAGCTTTTGAAGGAAAAAAAGTGCTTTTGAGGAGAAGCAGAAGCAGTTTTGGAGAAGCAGAAAAAAGTAGCTTCTCTCCAAAAGCACTTTTTTGAGAAGCACTTTTGCGAAAAATACACTTAAAAGCAGTTTTTTAAAGCTTGGCCAAACACTAATTGCTGCTCAGAAGTGCTTTTCAAACTAATTAGCCGAACACAAACTACTTCTCACCAAAAGTATTTTTGAAAAAAAACACTTCTCAAAATAAAATGATTATTGCAGCTTGACCAAATGGGCTATAAATTAGGAATTAATTTAAGATGGAGAATTTAGTGGGTAGCAATAGTCAGAACGAATTAAGACGGTCAAAAAGTAGATATGACTCTAAGATGATTCGCCGAAATAGGGAGCAAAAGATAGTTTTGTGTCTCGAGCTAACTCTATGTTGGCGCACGCCATAGTTTTTGGATTTTTATACCGTAAAGTTATCTCCGTTTGATCTATAGTTTATAAGTTTGAGTCGTAAAAATAGTTATTAATGTTTGCAATAGAATAAACTATCTATACCACACTCCTTGGGATCCGACCATTCCCTCGACCCTACATGAACGGGGAATGCATATCTTGTGCACGGGCAACCCTTTTTTTATCCGATGTCCGATATTTTCTTTGGGCTCCAAATACATTCGAATTTGTACTTGAAATTAGAGGATAAAATGCTTTGTAACATAGGTGACTTTATAACCCAAGACATCTAATTAAGAAAGAAAAAAAAATTTAACACTCACAATCAGTAGCGGAGGCAGGATCTCCATAAAGGGGGTACAAAAAAAAATTTGTAGCTAGTGGGGGAATTGAACCTATGACCTTAAGAAAATTTTGAACCCCCTTGACCACTAAGCTATACTTTTTGGTTGTATTAAGGGAGTTCAAAACTTAATATATAGAGGTAAAACACAGATTTTGCCTTATATACGCAGTATAATTTTTCGGCGAAGGGGGTTCGGGTGAACCCACTTCCGCGCCCCTAAATCCCAACCCTTATTTGTAGCTCATCACGCCCATTAAATTATACCGACAATAAGGATAAAAAAAAATAAAAAAATAAAACATGATGGACCCCCAATACACACGAGTAGTCCCAAGTATCGCGGCGAGGATCCTTGTTTTCGAGACGTGTCAAATTTCAATTAAATAATTATTCACAATCAATATTTATGCTAATATAATAATATCATTTACTACAAGTAATTAGCTGTGAACTGGAAGTCACAGAGCATATATTTTACGTTCACAAGTAATTGTTAAAATTAAATTTTATTTCTCTTAAAATGAACCCCGATGAATAAAATATCGTTATTAATCTAAAGGTTACTAAGGAAAACAGGGTGAAATTAGAGAATAATTATAGAGAATGTTTCATTAGTCAGAAATAGTGTAGCCTTTCACTTATAACAACTCTCCTTTATCATGAGTTTTGTATATCTATGTACAACTTCATTAAGTGTATTACTACTTTTTTACGTGACAAAAAAAAAAACAATATTATACTTTTTACAGTTTATATGGGAATATTTCAATTTATAGATATTTTTGTGTAACAGTAGAATATCTTTATTATGATATCTGAAATAGATTAATCTAATCCCATTTAGATTTTGAATACCGGTCAAAATAAACTTTAGTATATTGAGTAACTATTAAGATTTTTCAAAAAAAAAAAAAATGACAGTGTACATAAATTTAGAACGTATTTGGTTAGACGAAAATCATTTTGTAGAAAAATATTTTCTATGATTTCTCGTAAGTGAAAATATTTTTTTTTTGCAAAACAATATATACTAATGAAAAATATTAAATATGAGTTATACAGCCTGATAATTGCAAGAAAAAATGACTTTGGCTAATAAAATTTAACTCCTTCAAAACATCACAAAATAACTTTTGTCCCACCAAACACACATATTAATCTTTTAAATTTCGTATTAAACTAAACTAAGAGCCCGTTTGGACATAAGAAATTTTTTCCTTTTCTCCAAAAAAAATTCACTTTTTTCCGAAATAGGCATTTGTTCATAAAATTTCCAATTTTCACTTAAAGATGCATTTTGAAAATTTTCGAAAATTTGAAAAACTTCAAAAAGCTGTTTTTCAAATTTTTCACTCAAATCACTCACAAAACTTCTAAAACAACCCAAAATTATATTCATATCGAAACAAACACAACTCTAAATTTCAATACCATTTTCACTTGAAAATTTTTTTCACCCTTTTTTTAAATTTTACAATTCTTATGTCCAAACGCCCACTAAGTGAAACTTATTTAAAAAAAATTAACATGAGACCAAAAGAATATATAACAGGTAACTTGGGCGTGAAACTGGCAATAGCCGGTTTCCCGTGCGCCTAACAAGAAAAGACTCCTTTTGTTTTTTGGTCTCTCTCCTCTCCCTCTCACGTTAAATAGTAGAACCAAACAGCACACAAAATCACAGACAACTAATTCTTTGTCTCCCTGTTCTTTCCCTTTTAATTTCCTATTTGTGTCAGTTCAAAGTTGTCTTGTGTTTGTTTTAGAAAGAGAGATGACAGGGATTTCAAAGGAGGAAGAGAGTGTAACTCTTGATCTTCTCAGGAAGAAAATGGAAGATTTTGCTAAAGAAAGAGATTGGGAAAAGTTTCATAGCCCCAGAAACCTTCTTTTGGCTCTGGTATTTTCCCTCCTGTCCACCTTTTTTATTTTATTTCTTTTGTTTAATGAAAAAAAATTGAATTATTTCTCCACTTGTGTGTTATTTTTGCTTGTGCTGAGATTATGCTAATCTTTCTTGTTTGTCTTCACTTGTGATTTATTATGAATGACCAAATAACAAGTGAGGCTTGCTTAGTTGGTATAATACTTCACCCACGAGGCCACAATCGTTTGATCCTGAGTTCGAGTCACGTTGGAGAGGAAGTGTAGGAATAGTATAGATCCTCCCAGGGATTTTTTTTTCTAAAAAAATAACCAAATATGTGCTTAAATAATCATACGCATGTTTATTGCATTTTTTTTTGAACCATATATTTCGGTTTATTTTTTATCTTTACATATGAGTAATGCTAATCTTTTGTGTGTCATTCCAATTTTTTTTAAACATCCTAAAGGGATATCTACCATTTTATTAGCTTTTTCTTTTTGTGAGATAAAAAAAATTTCTTCTGTTTATTTCAACTCGTGATTTGTATGTTATGATTCAGAATTTATGCACTTGAATAATCACGCAACTAGTGATCCCTAGTTGATCCTTAACATGTTTTCCTTGATTCGATAAATAAATAAATAAAAATTGCTGTAAAATGTGTAGAAGTTTCGGGTTATGATTAAGTAATAGAAATATATATGACTATATGAGGGACGGGTAGGTCACACTTATTTTTTACATTTATTCTGTATCATTTTATGTGTTATTCTTTTTTGTTTTAATCTCTTTTACAAAAAAAAAAAAAAGTGACACACTAATATATTTGATAACTTTTTTAATTATAAATTATGTTCTTTTTTTTAATGATATACTTTTTTAGCCATGAAAACTTTAAGATATACTTCTAAGGATATTTTTAGTGCTCGTTTGGTACGAGTAAATCTCGGTATTAAATTTGAGATGAGTTTATCACATTTTTGGTTGGGATAAAATCACGGTAGAACTAATCTCAAGATTAGTTATCCCGGGGTTGCAGTGTTATTTTTTCTCCTATGAAAGGTGAGATAACAATCCCGATATAATCTAATCCTGATATAATTAATCCTGGAATAACTTATTTCCCAACCAAACGACCCCTTGATGTCCTTTAAACACTATAAAATGAAACGAGTAATATTTTCTGTCAATAAGAATATAAGATAGTCATTGCATTGGAAAAACGAGTAATATGATGATGATATAACGACCCCTTTATTTCCTTTAATTTTCTTGTTTTTATTCCTTTTTATTGGTTAAATTAATCCAATTATTTATATACACAGGTGGGAGAAGTTGGAGAACTTTCAGAAATATTTCAGTGGAAAGGAGAAGTTCCAAAAGGGTTACCTGATTGGAACGAAAAAGAGAAATTACATCTTGGTGAAGAACTTTCTGATGTTTTGCTATACCTCGTTAGGCTTTCTGATATTTGTGGGATTGATCTTGGCAAAGCTGCTCTTCGTAAAGTTGAACTTAATGCTATTAAATACCCTGTTAATCTCAACAAAGGTTCTTCAAACAAATGCAATAACGAAGCCGATAATTAAATCGCTCGATCAGACATATTAGTCGAGTTGCATACAAACTGGTCAGATCGTTATATTTTATGTTATGCTAAATATGATAAGTTAGGTGTCATAGGAGTTGAGAGAAAGTGGACCTGAAGCAGTGGAAATTTGTACTTTGATGGAAGAATATCTTTGGCATTTATTTTCTCATTTATTTTGGACTGTTTTGGCAGTTGAAATCATATCTTTTTTTACGCTGATCTATTCAATGTGTTTTCCCAAATCTGATAAAAGTTCATCTTACTTTTGATGCATAAGTTTTGTTCAGTTCAATTATGGTAATCTCCCGTCTAGATTGCTTATGTTTTTCTTGAGCCGACAGTCTATTCGAAATAGACTCTCTATCTAGGTAGGCAGAGACTGTTGGACTTTAAGCCATTGGGCTTTAAAGTAGAAGAAGTGTGAATTGGAAATGGAGGGAAATAAAATGGAGGGAAATTGAAAATTTGAAGAAGTGAACTTTTGTCTTGCACTTTGTCCCTCATTGGTGAGGGACAACCACATTTGTGTGCTTATATATAGAATCACTTCTTAAAGCTCTTAAAAGGAGTTGAAGAGAATGAACCCTCGCGCCGTTGTCGTCGCTCGGCTCGGCTTCGGCTTTGGATTTGGATTTGGATTTGTCAAATGATCGATCGATAAGATTATTTTTGGACAAAATTTATTTAATTATTTAATAATTAATAAAATGCCAAATCACTGTTGAAAATACGCCAGAATCCTGCTGAAGGTTCAGAGGGCCTCTCTGGCCGCGGTTCTGCCGCGACCGCGGTAGAACCGCGGCAGGCAGCGTATTCTTCTGAAAAGGCACCTTTTCCAGACACCTCTTCTGATAATTGCCTATAAATTCTGAGGCAAGGCTCCATTTTCTATACACGAAAAACACTCCAGAACTTCTTTCTTTCTAAATATACTGCATCCTAATTCGCAGTCTCTCTCTCTCAAATTCGTAAGTGTGATTTTGTTCCTTTCTTTGAGTTCGTTGGTATCCTGCAGTTTGTATTGCCACTGTTGCAGGAAGGTTTATTCCGTTTTATCCTGGGAGGATTTAATCCATTACCTTGGCAACGTGTGAGGGGGTTAAAATTCCTTAAGGACACACAAGAAAATTGTGGACTCGGAATATTTCTCAAATTCTACTATTTTTCTTTAATTCTTCTAACAATTTTGTTTTCCTAATTTTGTGTTTTAACACAGAAGCGCTCACAAGCTTAATGAATTTTTAACTAACGTTTCTGTGTTGAAACATATATTAAACTGTTATTCATATTTTGTATACTGTTTTGGAGACTAAAGCCTTGTTGCTTTCTACTCCAATAATTCATTTTGTCCGGTTCAAAGTACATAAAAACTTTGCCGGAATAATAAACGTATGGGTTTGAAGTATATAAAAACTTCACCATTGTTACGTGTTGTATGTTTGGTTTGATATTCAGTTTGAAGATATCAAAACTTCACTGATTTAACAAAGTTCTGTATTGTTTTCAACTTTATAGAAATATGATGAATGAAAACCAAACTAATGGAAGTGTTGCGGGAACGGGTGCTACTGTTACGAGCGCTGCTGCCTAGTCAAGCCGTTCTACTCCTGCTCATGCTATGGCACCGGCAGAAAAACTTGGAAAGTTTTCCGATATTGACTTCAAACGCTGGCAAATGAAGATGCTCTTCTATCTTACTACGTTGAGTTTGCAACGTTTCATCAAGGAGGATCCTCCGGTCATGGCTGAAAATACTCTGGATGATGAACGACTTGTTGTAACTGAAGCATGGAAACATTCTGATTTCCTGTGCAAAAATTATATTTTGAGTTGTTTGGAAGATGGCTTGTACAATGTCTATAGTGTCATGGAAACTTCAAAAGCGTTATGGAATGCGCTTGAGAAGAAGTACAAGACTGAGGATGCCAGACTTAAGAAGTTCGTGGCTGCAAGGTTCTTGGATTTCAAGATGATTGACACTAGGTCGGTCATAACTCAAGTCTAAGAACTACAAGTCATTGTACATGACCTCCTTGCTGAAGGTATGATCCAAATCAATAATTTTATTAATAAGATTTATCTTATTATTAATAATGAATTTGTTATTGAAGGTATGGTCATAAATGAGTCCTTTCAAGTCGCTGCTTTCATTGAGAAGTTACCTCCGCTGTGGAAGGATTTTAAGAACTATCTTAAACACAAACGGAAGGAAATGACACTAGAAGACTTGATTGTTCGTTTGAGGATAGAAGAGGACAACAAAAATGCTGAAAAGAAGTCACGTGGACACTCGACAATAATGGGGGCAAACATTGTTGATGAGGCACCACAAAATAAGAAGAGGAAGAAAGCTTCTGGACCAAAGAATTACCGAAGTAAGAAGAAGTTCAAGGGTAATTGCCACAACTGTGGAAAAACTGGGCATAAGGCAGTGGATTGTCGTGCGCCAAAGAATGATAAGAAGAAAAAGAATCAAGCCAACATGGTTGAAGATGAAATGGAAGACTTGTGTGCCATGTTGTCTGAATGCAACTTGGTAGGAAATCCGAAAGAATGGTGGATAGATTCTGGATCCACCCGCCATGTTTGTGCTAACAAGGAGTTATTTTCTTCTTATGTCCCCGCAGGTCCCGACGAGAGAATCTTCATGGGAAATTCATCTACGGCCAAAGTTGAAGGAGTTGGCAAGATTGCGTTGAAGATGACGTCGGGAAAAATAGTGACTCTAAACCAAGTCCTCCATGTTCCAGAAATTCGCAAGAATCTTGTGTCGACTTCACTTCTTGTCAAGAATGGATTCAAATGTATTTTTGTTTCCAATAGTGTTGTACTAAGTAAGAATGATATGTATGTAGGAAAAGGTTACCTGAATGAGAGCCTTTTTAAGCTAAATGTAATAGCAGTTCCTATCAATAAAGTGAATGCTTCTTCTTACTTGCTTGAGTCAAACACTTTATGGCATTCGCGTTTAGGTCACGTAAACTTTAAAACATTGCGAAAGATGATAAATCTAGAAGTATTGCCAAAATTTGATTGCATTAGTTTCAAATATCAAATATGTGTGGAATCAAAGTATGCTAAGCATCCTTATAAGTCCGTTGAAAGGAACTCAAGTCCTTTAGACTTAATTCACATAGATATTTGCGACATGAAGTCAACACCATCTCATGGTGGGAAAAAGTTTTTTTATTACTTTTATTGACGATAGCACGAGATACTGCTATGTTTATTTACTTAATAGTAAAGACGAGGCAATTGATGCTTTCAAGCAATACAAGAGTGAAGTTGAAGCGCAACTAAACAAAAAGATCAAAATGATAAGAAGTGATAGGGGTGGCGAATATGAATCTCCTTTTGAAGAAATATGTTTGGAAAATGGCATTATTCACCAAACAACTGCCCCTTACTCTCCACAATCTAATGGAATTGCGGAGAGGAAGAATCGAACGTTGAAGGAGATGATGAATGTATTGCTGATAAGTTCCGGCTTACCACAGAACTTGTGGGGGGAAGCTATACTTATAGCTAACCGAATAATCAACCGTGTACCTCATAGTAAAACACAATCCATTCTTATGAGAAGTGGAAAGGAAGGAAGCCTAGCTTGAAATACTTTAAAGTGTGGGGGTGTTTAGCTAAGGTACAAGTTCCTAAACCTAAAAGGGTTAAGATAGGTCCAAAAACGGTTGATTGTGTGTTTATTGGATATGTAACCAATAGCAAGGCATATCGTTTTCTGGTTCATAAATCAGAAAATCTTGAGATTCACATTATTACGAAAATAGAATCAGATAATGCTGAATTCTTTGAAACTATTTTTTCCATATAAAAAGGAAAGTGAAGTGACCTGCCAAAAGTCAAAACGACCTCGGGAGGAAATAATAGATGGTATGCCTAATGAAGAAAATCCGAGAAGAAGTAAACGTCAAAGGACATCTACTTCATTCGGTCCAGATTTTCTGACTTTTCTGTTAGAAAATGAGCCTCGTACCTTCAAGGAAGCAATGTCTTCATCAGAGGCACAATATTGGAAAGAAGCTGTCAATAGTGAAATAGAATCCATATTGAGCAACCATACTTGGGAATTGGTTGATCTTCCTCCAGGTAACAAAACGTTGGGTTCTAAATGGATTTTCAAGAAGAAAATGAAAGACGATGGTACTATTGACAAATACAAGGCAAGACTTGTTGTCAAAGGATTTAGACAACGAGAAGGTCTTGACTATTTTGACACATACTCGCCGGTAACAAGAATTACATCCATTCGGATGCTAATAGCGTTAGCCGCCTTGTATGGTCTTCAAATCCATCAAATGGATGTAAAAACAGCCTTCTTAAATGGTGATCTTAAGGAAGAAATTTACATGAACCAACCTGAAGGGTTTGTGGTTCCGGGAAAAGAAAAGAAGGTGTGTAGACTTGTTAAGTCTCTTTATGGACTAAAACAAGCACCCAAACAATGGCATGCGAAATTTGACCAAACAATGTTGTCAAATGGTTTTAAGATTAATGAATGTGATAAATGTGTTTACATTAAGAACGTTCCAAATCATATAGTCATTGTTTGCTTATATGTTGATGATATGCTAATAATGAGCAAAGACATTGCCGACATTCAAGCTACTAAGCGCATGCTTGCTAGTAAGTTTGATATGAAAGACTTAGGAGTTGCCGATGTAATTCTAGGAATTAAAATCCAGAGGACTCCTCAAGGTCTAGCTTTGTCTCAATTACATTACGTGAAAATGATACTTGAAAAATTCAAACACTTGGAATTTAGAAGTGCAAGAACTCCAATTGACTTAAATCATCATCTCATAAAGAATAAAGGTGAAAGTACGTCTCAATTGGAGTATGCTCGTGTGTTGGGAAGCTTAATGTACATCATGAACTGTACACGACCTGATATAGCTTGTGCGATAAGTAAACTTAGTCGATTCACAAGTAATCCCAACAAACATCACTGGGTAGCAATGAAACGAGTTCTGGGATATTTGGAATATACCCAAGACTACGCTTTGCACTACAATAAATATCCTACAGTTATCGAAGGATATAGTGATGCAAATTGGATAACCAGCTCAACAGAAACAAAGTCCACAAGTGGATATGTTTTTACTGTTGGTGGAGGAGCAGTATCTTGGAAGTCTTCCAAACAAACATGCATTGCTCGCTCTACAATGGAATCAGAGTTTATAGCTTTGGATAAAGCCGGTGAAGAATCTGAATGGCTTCGGAATTT